GCTCTGCTTCTGTCCTGTTCCTGGTTCCCTGTGATTATTCATGTCTTTCTGGTGTGTCTTGTTGTGTAGCCTCTTTACTTCCTGCTTCTGCTTTGCTCCGTGCTCAGCATTGAGGTTCGGATGTCCTGAGACCCGCCGAGCACCAGGTCGCTCCTGTCTGTGGCCTGAGGGCTTAGGTCTCTATGGCATTTCCTGAACAGCTGAGCCTGGGCTAACCCCCATCCCACCGCTACGCACAGGGTCTTTATCGCTCTCCTGCCTTTCCACGGCTCGTCCCTTCCCACCCGCGACAGCATGTTTCTGTGCTGTGATCGAGCTCTGTTCTGTCCTGTGGGTGAAGTTGGAGTGTGCAGCACCTGGGGCTTCGGCCACTTCCACACCTTCGACAACTTCATGTACGACTTCTCCGGCACCTGTAACTACATCCTCGCCAGCGACTGCAGGTCCCTGACCCCCGCCTTCAACGTCCAGATGAGGAGAGATGCTCTGGGCAGCATCCAGTGCATCGTGATTGAGCTGCCCTCTTCCACGGTCCGGGTCAACAGGGAAGGCATCACCCTTGATGGGAGGTGAGCCTGACACTCGTTCCTCTTCCCTTTTCCTGTGGTTTTCCCATAATCCCCGGCTTGCCGGATGATCGATGGCCGCCCAGTGATGGCAGCAGAGGGGGCTCGAACCTTAACTCACTGCCACGAACTCTGGGAACCTAAACCGAAGAATGACACCTTCTCCCTCTGTCCCACGTGCTGACACATTATCCCCGGACTCTCTTCTGTCTCCTGTCTCCTGATTCCTGATCCCGGACTGTCCGCCCCCACAGGAACATTCCCCTTCCCTTCTTCTCAGAAGGGGTCCTGATCCGGACGTTTGGGATTCTGGTGCGCCTGGAAGTGAAGCCGATCAACCTCATTGTGATGTGGAATCGTGAGGACTATCTGACGGTAGGGCAGCGGGCTTACCACAGCAGCCTGGCCTCCTCCTCCTGTGTGGCTGCACGTGCAGTACATCTCAGCTGCTTCGTTTCACCCCTTTCAGGTGGAAGTTGGGGAAAACTTTCAAAACAGAACATGTGGTCTGTGTGGAGACTTCAATGGTGATCCCTTGAAATCTGAGTTTGAAGGGAACTGTAAGTTCAGCCTTTTACAAATGATCCCTTTAAAAAGGTGTAAATGATGGAAAACGTATTCTAGTTTAAAATGTTTTGAGGTTTTTATTCAGCTGCAATTAACATTTAAACTTCTTCCAGTGGAAACTTTTTGTGATTTGAACTCCAAACCTATAATAAGTAGAGGCTTTAGCTCTTTCTGAGTTTGCGTAAGTTGACATCTTGTCCAGCATCCTTAATTTCTGTGTCTTCTGTGTGTCTTGGCTTGTTGTCATAGTAATACCATTCCAGTTCGCCAACGAGCAACAGGAGGACGATCCGAACGAAGCCTGTCTGCCGCTGGAGTCCAGCTGCTCCTCAGGGATCATCTGTATTGAATATGTAAGATGATAAGAAAGCAATTCAAGTTTCTGTCTCTGCTGCTGCCTCGTGTGTAAATTAATACCCCAGGCTGAGGTCTTCTAGAAGCTCACTGCCTGCTGCAGGGCCCACAAGAGAAGTGAGGGGCGAGGTCAGAGGTCAGAGGTGAAGGGTGAGGGTGAGGGTGAGGGTGAGGGTGAGGGTGAGGGTGAGGGTGAGGGTGAGGGGTGAGGGTGAGAGGTGAATGCCTGCTGTGTCTGAGGTTTCCTTATACACTGATCTCACTCTCCAGACTCAGTCTGGGCTGCACGTGAAAAACACGGGGTGGGTAGAGAGAGAAGACTATGGCTGACAGGCCTGTGCACAGAGCTCTGAGAGGAGAGAGAAGACTGTGGCTGACAGGCCTGTGCACAGAGCTCTGAGAGGAGAGAGAAGGCTGT